AATTATCTTAATTTACAAATTCATAGTTTCACTTTCGGACTTCATCTTCATGCTAAGTTTCATTAATTTTCACATCGTTTATTATAATCCAAGTTGCATTTTTCTTAGCATAACTGCACATGCTAAGATGGAGTTTCGAAAAAGGCACCACCATTATGACAGCATGTGCTCAACTTTTTGATTGGTGAATATTATATGACTCTCCCCATAAAAATGACTGCTTGATAACCTTCGATTAACATTATTTTTTAGTGCTGTTAAATTAAACAAGTCTGACTCAATTCGGTTCAAGTTCGGCTCGTTCAGGCTCGAGTTCTCGAATTTATCCAAAGCTTGTTTGTTTAGTTTGGCTCTTTAAGGCTCGTAAAGAAATTTTCTACATAACTTTTTATAGTTTAGTTCGTTAAAACTCGAGATCGCCTCGAACTTAGCTCGTTATGAGTGGTAAACGAGCCGAGCTCGAGCTCGATTAAGGGCTACATTGAAGTGAACTAGTTCACGCTAACGATAATTTTGAGGGAAGATGCTTATTTCAGTCATCGAATGCAAATCATTTGGAAACTCAAACCGCAAAGCAACTAGATTTGAATTCGAAAAATATTTTGTTTAAGTAATATGAACACACTATATAGTACTCCCTCTTATTTTTATTATTTGTCGTTTTGGCTTAATTGATCATTGATTAAATAAATGTCATTTCTGCTATATATTTTGTTCATATTTTTCCATTTTTAACCATTCATCTAATACACAGTGTCTCTTCATATCCCATCTCCATTGTTTCCCATAACATCTACTACCTCCTTTTTAAATTAGATGTCGTTTTGACTTTTTTGATTCATCCATTTTGCTACGTATCTAGACATATTTTTATGTCTAGATACGTAGCAAAATAGATGAATCAAAAAAGTCAAAACGACATCTAATTTAAAAAGGAGGGAGTATTAAATAGGGTTAATATTGGCAAGAAAATAAATTCTTAATTAGCGTGTTCCTTCTCAAAACTTTTAGGTGCATGGATCAAATAGAAAAGGCAAATATTGTCTATTAGCATTTATAACACCCACTGGATATAATATATGACTCTGCATAACTACTTTTTGTCACCATAATTGTAACATGTTCCCTCAATTTCTGCTTCATGAATGCTAACACAAAAGGCAAAATTTGTACTTTGACTTTTCACCTGATGAGTTGGAGTAATGGCAGCTCAATATTAGTGAGCTAGGAAAGCTCCTAGCCGTTGTACTAATCCTGGCTTCTAGGAGTAATTTATTAAACTGAAATTTTTAAAATTCGAACATGAAAATGAAACAGAGTTTAATATTGCAACTTGCCATGAATTAAACAGTGCCTTTTCTTTTGTGATAACTGTCTAAGCCAATTAATTGTTGCATGTTCTATTAACTTTTGTGATAAAGGCGAGTTTTGTCTTGATTAGTAATTACTCTCTCTTCTTTATAATATGTATCGTTTTAAGAAGTTACACAATAATTAAAAATATTTTTTGCCAATAATAATTCCCTTGAATAAAAATTAATAATATAAAAATTAAGAGTGAATATGAGAAGGCATAGTGTATTTATTAGCTAAATGAGAATAATAATGGAAAAATATGTATAAGAAAATCCAAAATTCATTTATTTAATTAAAGGTTGATAAAATTAAAATGACATTTAAAAAAAATAAGAGAGAGTATATTGTTTTAACTCCTGGCTGAAAAGTTTGTGAGATTTAGTTAGGATTTGTACTCTAGACTTTGAATGAGATGAGATTCACCCGATGAGTTGGAAAATGGATCGAATAATCCTGTAACATGGAACATGAAAACTATAAACCAAAAAGTTTAATGAATAATTAATTAAGTCCTAAATTAATTAATCAATAATCATTAATGCATGTTCCCTCAACTTTTGAGTAATAATGAACTGTAATTATGATCCTCCCACGTCTAAAGGTGATCACGGGTGTTTGAGATCTGCGTCATTTCCCACACGTTTGGATGAAACTCAAAAAAAAAATAAAAAATAAAAAATAAAAAAATAAAAAGTGAAATTTGTCTTACTTTACCAATTTATTATCCAAGCTGTGTTTTTCGTAGCATAACTGCACAAGCTAATATTGTGTTTCCAAAAAGGCATCCACCATTACTACTGCATAAAAACTTTTTGTCACCATAATTGTAACATGTTCTCTCAATTTCTGCTTCATGAATGCCAACACAAAAGGCAAAATTTGTACTTTGATTTTTCACCTGATGAGTTGGAGTAATGGCAGCTCAATATTAGTGAGCTAGGAAAGCCCCTAGCAGTTGTACTAATCCTGGTTTCTACAAGTAATTTATTAAGTGAAATTTTAAAATCTGAACATGAAAAAGTTTATTATTGCAACTTGCCCTGAATTAAACAGTGCCGTTTTCTTTTGTGATGACTGTCTAAGCCAATTAATTGTTGCATGCATGTTCTCTCAACTCTTGGTTGATTAATCCAAATTCATTAAATCAAGTACTATTAGATAGAGCTAACGGTTAGACATACTGATTTTTGAATTTTTTATTACTTGAATTAAACAAAAGTACGATATTTCATCTTAACATAAATATGTATTTTTTTAAAAAGTATGATTGGTACTTGACAAACCTAACTGTTACACAGTCTCACACGAGAATTTGATATCCAACTTATGTCTATGCAATTTCTACTGGTATAGGCTTGAGTGTTTTAGGATCTGAATTAATTTTTAACATGTTAGATCAAACATAAAAGTCATAGTTTGTTTTCATTGAGCCATTTATTATTTCCCTTTTGGATGAAAAAAGGTATGAGCCACCTGAAAAGTTGGAATCTTTACATGTCAAACTGGATTAATTAACAATTCAAAATATATATGTTATTGGGTGCAATTAAACTTGCTTATTATCCAATTCAATATATTTTTTATACGAAATGCAAAAGTTTATACTTGCAATAAATATTGAATCACAAAAAACGGGACAAAGAATATTTTACATTTTGTCGGTAGTACTACTTCAAATTGTCGTACTCGTATTTACAAACTTTAATCTCAAAACCAGATATTTGAGCAGCAAAAAAACCTTCCCACAAGAACTAAATCACATTTCAGCCCCCCAAAGTGTGAAAATACAACTTCTGATGGGACCAAAAGTGCAAAAAAAAAATTAAAAATACAAATTCTTGTGAGCCCCAAACTGCAAAAACTATTTGCCGAGACTAAAGAAAGAAGGAAAAAAGAAAAAAAATCTACTATGACAAAATTATCTTCTGTTGACCATCAGCCATTGACTAAAACTGGCTCTGCATGTTGAGCAGTGAAACTCTTGACTTAATCAAACGTTTGAACAATCTCTCCAGTCTTTCCTCTATCACTCTAATAACTAACTCCATCTCCCTCAACTGTTGCTTCAACTCCTCGATTTTCGAGCCCGTCTCGCATTTACTAACAAATTTACTCAAAGAAGCATCCAAATCTTCAAACCCGAGCATCGAACTCTTATGCTCGTGGCACGAGACTTTTCTCGACCCCATAAGCTTCGAAACTAGGGACCATTTACTGTCTTTCGAACCAGAAATGCTCGACAAAAGTGCCTCAATCAACTCTAAAGTTATCGACTCGACTTCCTTCAACATGCTGATGATTGCAATTGTTTCTTGATCTTTGTCCCCTGTTTTTAAAACAGGGGAGTTCTTTTTATATCTACCGATATTTCTCAACGATTTTTGTATTTGCTTCTTGATCGTCTTTCTTGAGGAGATGAACTCGGAAAGATCTACCGAGCCGCGCTTTCGCCTGAGGACTGAAAGGAGGTTCGAAATGTAATCTTTGGATTGGAAGATGAAATCTTTAGCTGTGGCACAAGCGTCCACTAGGCCGAGATATCCGTCCATGATTTGTTCGACCCATTTTTCGTGCCTTTCTCGGGTGAAAATTTGGTGGGTATGTGGGAGAATAAGTAAATTGTCGATAAAATCGTGTATTTGTTCAAGATTGTTCATTTTTTCGGAGATTGAGGACAAAGATGAAGAAGAGGTGGGGAAGTTATCGGATTTTAGTGCTTGTAAATGGTGTTCGAATTCGGGGAGTAGAGGGTAAGGTCTCGAAGGCATGCTAGAAGAACGCGTTTGGCTTATGATTATGGATTTCATGGTGATTTGCTAGCTAGGATTTTACTTTATCTTTTTTCGTGATGATGTGAAATGTACTATGGGGAGTGTCAGTGCTTTTATATACGACGAAGATGAAGGGAGAGGCAGAGCTAACATTAATGACTTTAATATATTTATCAGATGTATGGTAAAGGCGAATTTTGTCTTCATTAGTAATTATTGTTTTTAACTAACTCCTGGCTGAAAAGTTTGTAAGATTTTGTTAGGATTGTACGCTACTTTGAATGAGATAAGATTCACCTAATTAATTAATCAACAATCATTGCGTGTTCTCTTAACTTTTGAGTATTAATGACACTGTAATTATGATCCTACCACGTCTAAAGGTGGTCACGGGAGTATTATCTTCATGCTAAGTTTCATTAATTTTCACATCGTTTATTATAATCCAAGTTGCACATGCTATGATGCTAAGATCGTGTTTTGAAAAAGGCACCACCATTATTACATGCATGTGCTCAACTTTTTGACTGGTGAATATTAATTATATTACTCCCCCAAAAAATAAATAGCTGCAAAAATTATTTCTATGTTTTCCTTACAAAGACTACAAAACTTTTAGGTGCATGGATCACAACAGAAAAGGCAAATATTGTCTTTATTGCCTATTGGTATTTATCACATTCACCATGGCTGAAAAGGTTGTACTTTTGATTTTCACCTGATGAGTTGGAATATTGACAGCTCAAAATTAGTGAGCTACGAAAATCCCTAACAGTTGTACTAATCCTGGTTTCTAGAATTAATTTATTAAGTGAAATTCTAAAATTTGAACATGAAATTGAAACAGAGTTTATTATTGCAACTTGCCCTGAATTAAACAGTGCCTTTTCTTTTGTAATGAACTGTCTAAACCAATTAATTGTTTGGATGTTCTCTCAACTCTTGGCTGATGGTGGTTCCATTACGATTTCCAGTCTTCGCCGTATCAGGTGTCGGGAGGGTGTGGCGGACTGCCGTTTTCACCGGAATCTTCGCTGCGGCGGTCCTCCGGCGTCCTCTTGAGGGTGGTTGCGGCCCCAATTTTTCCGATTTACGGTTTGGGGTGGAGATGCCTTCTCTGGCCGTTTTTCTCTCCTCTCGTCGGGTGGTCGTCGGGGGTGAAATTGGGGGTCGAGCAGGTATTGGTGCACTGCGGAGCCTGCGGGGGTTCGATGCAATTGACTCTAAAAACAGAAAGAGGATGCTAAGAAAAAAGTACGGTGCACTCGAGGTCGTCGGGCAGAGGAGTCGGCTGTTGATGTGTGGCTTCGGGCTGGGTTGTTACAATCTCGGCCCGAGTCGGGTGTGGACAGTTGGGCTGCCTTTTGGAGTGCGGGTTTCCGGGTCTTGTGGTGTTGTCCGTCTGGACCAAGGTTGGGTCCGATGGTTCCCGATCCAGTTAATCGGGTCCTGTGCCTTGACTGTCATTGTTGTGTTTGATGAGGTTTTCTGTTGTGGGAAGGGTTGTAGTAGTAGTAGTAGTAGTAGTAGTAGTAGTAGTAGTAGTAGTAGTAGTAGTAGTAGTAGTAATTTTTTTAGTATGTCGTTCGTGTTTGATGTTTGTCCCTGTGTTTTAAGTTTGGGCCGTTGGCCTCTGTGAGCCCGAGTGTCACCTTATTATCCTGTTGGGGTCCGACACTCGGGTATTACTCTATTGGGGTCTTTGTTTTGTTTTTCTATGTTTTGTAATGTTCTTGAGTATTACCCCGTTGGGGTCAGTTCTAGGAGGTCTTTTGACCTGTCCTCCCACTTTTTCAGCTATTGGTTGCTTGTATTCAGCTGTTGGTTGTTTGTAATCAGCTGGTGGCTGCTCTTTGCACATTTGTGCGTTTTTATATAATACCTCTATCGTTCCGGAAAAAAATTGTCAATTTAATTGTCCCTTCAAATCTATATCTACAAATCTATATCTATATCTATATCTCTATAATGGACCAATCTTTTTTGCTAAAATTTAGCATATTTTTCCCGCCTAAAATTTTCAACTAAATTTAGGTAAAGATTGATTTATAGTTTCTATATTTCTATAAATTTATGAATTTTGACATGAATAACACAAATCACATTATATTTGAACAGTTTCATATTTAATAATTCATTATTTTGATATTATCAAATGAGAATATTAATTTATCATGTAGAGAAATATGATTGGTCTAAGGAAAACTTGATTTAAAACGTACCAAAATTAGCTATATTATACTATTGTCCAAAAATATCAATGTTTATCTAAAAAATAATATCTATATATNATACATAGGATGAGTTAAATTATTATAGAACCAATATGAATTTCGGATTGTTTAAAATTAAAAATAAATAGACAAAAATGTAGTTATCTATAACTATATACACAAATATCTTATCTAACATTAGAGGCATTCGCAACATTTTATAAACTTATGAACAAAAAAAAATCATATATATTAAACAATCAAATATGTATTCTTCTAAAAGTAATTGAAAAATAAAATAATAATAATAAAAATATAAATACTATTATTTAAAATACACCCCGTGGATCGCACGGGTATCAATGCTAGTCTATATAACGGACCAATCTATATTTTTATAATTGGCATGATTTTGGGCAGGAATTTTTTTTTCGTCTATATTTGGCATTTAATTAATTTTTATTTATTGATAAATCTTATATATGAACAAAATAATTACTTTTTGTGTACTCAATGACTGATACTCATTAAATATACATTGACTTAAATAGACTTGTTTTGTGTGTAGATTGATTAGATGTATTTTCAATAATATCTTAATATTAATTTTATAGTAATTTATTAAAAACATTAAAAATAAAATATATTATGAAAATTGATTTTATTAAATATATTATCATATAAGGTTGTAGATATTAATTTAGTGTCATGTACATCTAACGGTTATAAATACCAACGGAATGGTTCTGTAACGAGATTGCAACCTTTTCCAATATAGAGAATATTACAATGATTGTCTACCAATTAATTGTTATTCTTACATTTATGCAGCTCTTTCTTTCGATTGCAAATATAAAAAATTTTATTGTTTATAAATGGTTAGTTTGTGGTTTACTCCTTAATTTAGCCTTGATCAATTGTATTTTTTTGGTTTATAACTCGTTTATAAAATATTTATGTATGAATTAATTTTTAATGTTGTATTTTGCAATTATTTTCAAAAGTTTAGTAAACATGTAAAATTCAGACTCTCTTATACGCTCTTGCAGAAAATGGCTTCTCATTTCATTAGAAAAATAAAGTTGATTCATGTTTTAAGAAACAGGGGCAGTTTCTTTAATTGTCTGATCATATGCTAATGTTTGAAAAGTTAGTTACTTTGCTAGGATAATTAATTGCACATGCAGAATATGTAAGTTCTATATGTTTGAGTTTTTAGTTAATTTGTAAGCATACTTAATTGCACATGCAAAATATGTAAGTTCAGAGTGCATCACGAGTGGCAAATTACTGTGACATGTTTTCTCAACTTCTTGGGACAGAAAAGGCAAAACTTGTCTTTATTTTGTGGTTTTTATGATTTTCTCCCTGACTAAAAAGCTGAGATACATTGATTTAATTTGATAAACCCACTTATAGTCATTGCCTTGGCTTGTAGCCATTACAATTAAATGAAGAGATAAGAAAGAGCTTATAAATAAATGAATCGCAGTCTCTAGTAATTAGCTTTTAAAATTTAAACTAGCATGTAGCCCGTGCGATGCACGGGACATAAGTATTAATGAGTTATTTCTACAGAACTTGTCCGTTAAGTAGCTCGTGCGATTCACGGGAGATATTAAATGAGTGGACCATAGGGCTTGTCCGTTCAGGCCTAAAAAATAATAGAGTTTGATCATCTATCTTTTTACATCTTTTCATCAACGTCATTTTTTTTGTCAGAACATTAAACCTGAGTCTGGTAGCGCTAGTCCATATATTAATTAATAAATTATCTCGCTCACATGTTTATAATAATATAAATTTGATTTCATTATATATATTTATTCATTGATATAAGAAAAATAACAATTTTATGTAATCTTGTTCCTCGTATAATACTTATATTATTTCATTATAAAATTTATTGTAGTATAATGTCATTATTATTATAAGTTATAGATGTAATCTTCTTCGTCTTTTTGTTTTATGCATGTAATTAAAATATTTAATGTATGTTCATATTATTTATTAATGTAATTAATTTAAATTATGTAAATAAATTTAAAGTAAAACATTTTGTACAAACATTTTACAAAATATACACAAATGTTTTTTTACAATTTATTTTTTTTACAATAAATAACAGCTTTGAAATTCTATACAATTATTAAAACCGATTAAATCTTTATTTATAGGCTTGACATTAAAACCGATTTTATGAGATTATTTTAACTAAATCGATGTTATGGGATAAAACAAATCTATACTTACATTTGACTTTTTCAAAAAAATCGGTTCTGATTTTTATCCCATAACAAATCTTTAATGTCAAGCTATAAATACCAAAACAAATCTGTAGTTAATGTCATTCTATTTCCAGCAAACATTAATTACTTTTGACTTTTCTTTATATTAAATCTGATAAATGGGATACCTTTTAATATAAGTATAGAAATGGAAATCAGAATGGCTATAAAGGATGGAATTTAACGTGGATATGAAAAGTTATTATCATGGTAGCAAAAATGGATCAAGAATCGAGTTAGTTGATCGGTCAACTCTTATTTATAAAATCGTATGTCAAACGATTGGTTAATAATCGGTGTTTGACCAATTAGAATTGGAAAAACTGGCTAGTCGGACCGGTTAAAATTTGTTGTAAAATATAGTTTTGTTATTCTTGAATATATTTTAATATAAATTTAAATATTTTAAATTTATATAAAATATTATATCAATTGGGTTATAGATAATTTCCTTTTCCATTAATATGTTGTTTTTAGTTTGATTACAGGTTCATGACTTCCAACTCTTATGTCCAACTTTCATGAATTTGTATATTTTTCAAATCTAATGTTAATAACTCTGTTTTGGGCCGTTTGGGCTAAAAAAGGATACGCTTGTTGAATTAGTTTTAACCCAAATTAAGAAAAGTACCTGTTCAAGTTGCATGAAAAAGCCCAAAATTAAAGCTAATGTTTCATTTAATTAGCCCAAATTGGAGGAAGGACTTGTTGAAGTTACCAGTGAAAAGAGACTTCCGAAAAGAAACTTTTTATAATATAATGCCACATAGTTAGCTCAAAATCAAAGAATTTCCCCACGGTCAAAATCGCTGACTCGGGTCAACCCAAAACGGCGTCCTTTGATTGTCGTCGGCCACCTGCAACGACGTCGTATGGTTCGAGGTTTTTGGTACTAGCGACAGGGTCGCCGGCGATTTCAATCCGCCTCTGTCCGCCGCCGCTACCCAGACGCCGTGGACTCCAAATTACACCGCTCCGGTTTCGGGTCCGACCCGTCTCTCTGAATTTCGATGGAGAAAATATTATTACAGGGCTTGACTTTTTGTTATTGTGTCACAATAAGGCTTGAATTTTTAACTTTTTCATTTGAGGGTTCAATCATAAGTTATTGTCAATATAAGGCCTACTTTTACATTCTACTTTTCAATTTAAGACTCCAAATCATTTTGTATTTTGATACAATTATGTAAACCATAATACACTTTTTAAATATATATATATATATATTAAATAATTAGAAAAAATTTTAGAGAAATTAATTTAATAAGAAAACCAATTCAAATAAGAAATATATTTAGTAAAATACTTTAATAAGAAAATTAATTCATTTAAGCTAAATTTATTTTGCATAAATGTAACTAATTTGTATTAAATTTCTTACGAAGCTAGCTTTACAAATATATTTAATACTTTTATTATAGGCGTTAATTAATTTTATATAAAAATATGAATTTTATTCACAAATAATATTTTTTATAAGTTTATTTAAAAAAATAAAATTATTATTTTTTAAATAGCTTATATTTTAATGTTATCATATTTTTTGATTAAAATTAAGTTAAAAATCATTTTTTAACTTTTATAACAAATTTCATTAAGCTTTTGCATAGATGTAAATTGTGAAATAAATATTTTATTAGGTAATATTATTAAAGATATGAAAAAAAAAAAAACAAAAGAATTTTTTCTTACTAAAGATATTTAATATTTTTTATTATAAGTACTTAAATACTATTTTTTTTAAATGAGTATTGTGGTTTATATAATTATATCAAAATACAAAGTGATTTGGAGTCTTAAATTGAAAAGTAGAATGCAAAAGTAGGTCTTATATTGATAATAACATAAAATTGAAATTCTCAAATAAAAAAATTGAAAATTCAGGCCTATTGTGACACAATAGCAAAAAGTCAAGCCTTACAATGGAATTTTCCCATTTCGATGTCGCGAAGGTTAGTTGATAATTTGTACACAATCTTCAAACCATGATTGAATTTTCGGTTGTGAACCTTTAGATTAGCAAACTATATATTATGTGCTGATGTTAGGGTTATTTACCCATTAACTCATATAACAAAGTTATTGAACATGTGAAATCACAAATTCTTCTGTGAGACTGTCTGAAGACAGACAAGTCATCTGCTTTAACAAAAATGTATTTTTTAGAGTATACATTTCAGTTTAAAAATATATGCATATTTGTTGAAATTAATATTCCCAAATTGTTTGGCATTGGAAATTTAAGCCATGAGATTTTGTATTTTTGTATGTTCATTTGAATTCTTGCACAATAATTTTAAAAATGGGATGGTGGGGTGGCTGGGGCTCTGCATTATTTTTCAGATTTTGCACAATATTGTGTCCGGTTGTTGAATTTGATCAACCACCAAAAAGATTGCCAATCCATTTTTCCATTATNGTTTTTGATGATCAATTTGCCGAAAAATATGCTTTAGTTAATAATAATACATCCTTTGATCTAACCATAGATGTGCCACATCTTGAGGATATTGACAATTTTGTTTGGTCTCCTAAGCAAAATATGCTTTAGTTAATAACAATATGCTTTAGTTGAATTCAGTGTTATTGTTACAAGGAGTCGTTGAATGTGAAATTCGACTTTTTGATGAGTTCAAACCTCGTTCTGTTTATTTTCTTTTGTGCATCTAAAAACACTAAAACAGCTTAATTTTTCTGTTGGATCTATTAGATGAAATTAAATTTGACAAGAATGATAATTTGGCCAATGTTTCTCTATTTCATAATTCAATGTCCAAGGCCTCTATATTTACTGCATATATAATTGTAACAAAAGTAATTCAATCAAAAGCCTTGCTCAGCATAAATTTTACGTAAGTGAAGTGATTTGGTGATAGACGAACGGTTTATATAAGTCTGTAGATAAAGTTCGACATGTGTTTAAGACAAGTCAATGTACAAACAAATGCACACATTTTCATTTGAAACCACTCATCAATCGAAATTTACAAGTAATATGTTTTCATGTACAAGCTAGTTGTTGAGCAAGTTGAGTAGCAAAACTCTAGTTTTAATCAATTGCCTAAATAAGCAATCGAGCTCTTCTTCGAGATTTTGGATGCTCGAGTCCGTTCGTTTCAACTCACTCATAATGATAATCTCCTCATCAACCCGTAAATCTCCTAGACTGCTCGACTGCAAAAAAACGTCGATTTTTTCAAACTCATTTTGACACGACTCGTTTTTCTTGGTACTCATCAACTTCGAGACCAATGCCCATCTCGTTTGCACTTTATTATTAGTCCCCATCAAATACGACAACAAGGACTCGAGCATTTTAACACCGGTTAGCTCAGCCTCTTTAAGCATATACGCCAGATCATTCATCGTCTCACCGTCTTTCTCCCGTGACACAAAAATTCTCGATTGTTTCAATGACTTGCGGATCATTTTCTTCGACTTTCTTCTTGAGTTGAGATAGAAATGGACGCTATCCGCGTCTTTCCGTCTCACGGCGGAAAGTAGCTGTTGTACACTCTGCTTCGCGAGCGATACATGATCTTTCGCTGTCGTGCAAGCGTCCAAAAGGACGATGTGGCCATCCAATACTCGGTCGGCAAATTTCATGTGCGATTCTCGGGAGATTAATTGTTGTACGTGTGGCGATTGAAGCAAGTCGTCGATTTTGGAATATAAGTGTTTGAGGCCGACAAGACTATTGTTCATCGACAGAAGTGATGAACACGAGGACTCGGAATTTCGCACGTTCGATAGGGTTTCTTCGAATTGTGAGAAAACGGGGTCCGATTTCGAAGGCAAGCTAAGGGATCGGGTGTGGTTAGAGGCTTTTGATCTCATAGGTGAGAATGCCATTTTTTTTTTATCAAAAATATACAAGTTTTTTTTTTTTGGTTGGAAAAGGGATTTGAAGTGAAGAGTAATGTTTGGTAATGGAGATAGTTTGGATGAATGAAGAAAGTAGCATTTGGTGGTGAGTTATATATATGTGGAGATTAAACGATTTCTTTTTATTTTATGATTTTTGGTTTCTTATAGTTAGTAGTGTGGTTTTGATCTGGATTTGCGGTTGATAAGGCGATGTTTGTGCTGTGTTTGCTACCATTAGGACCAATGAATTAAACCTAATTACTAATTAGTACGGTTAATAATATTATTATTTTGAGATTAAGAGGCACGATCCACATTATTGGTCATTGCACACGAGTGCCACCAATTGTGATCTGTCTTGTCTCGACGGGTGAGCTGGCTTTACACGTCGATACACGCTTACATCTGACCAATTTTGTCCTTTTTTAAAAAAAAAAATATTTCCAATTTGCTAAATCATGGATCACGTTGTCAAAAATTTTCGGAAAAATGTAATTTTAGTTCACTAATTTTAATTCTTTTCCCAATTTTGTCCACTAGCGTTTCGGCTTTGTCATTTTGTACATTATCTTTTCTTTCATGTTAAGCACTATATATATTTTTATTGATAATTTTGGAAAGAATTAGTATACATAGTATTTTTGGTTTTTTGCTCCCGTATGAATTTTTGAAAGTGTGTTCTTGATTAAACCTCTTCTCATTCTAATTGTGCTGAAATTAGCACCAATAATTGTTATTCTTGTAAAGGATTTCTTTAATTTTTCAAGTAATTTTGGAGAAAGGTATTTATTATTTCACATGTTTAAGAAATACACTATAATATTGCAAATTATTGTTGACGAATGGCTTTGATGTAACTGCATAATTGCACATGTAACAGTGCAAATATAAAAAGACTTTGTGCACGAATGGCTTTGACGTAAACTGCATTAGTGTCATTGTTAATTAAGATATACTAGTACAATACCCGTGTATTACACGGGTGTTGAATAAGGTAGCTTTTGTAATTTTTACCTTTTTGAAAAACTAAAATAATTTAATTTTATATAAAACATTACTTTGAGTTTTAATTAAATTGTCAAATTGTATTTTTTAATCATAATAATCAAACACTTGTACATTAATTGAAAATGTCAACCCGTGTTGAATTTTTTACTTATATCATATAAAAATATCGAAATTATTTACTATTACATAAGTACAAAAATATATATCTTAAATAAATAGAAATAATATGGTGATATGTATGTATATGCATAAGTGTAGAATATATTTATTTAACATTAAAATAAAAAAATTAATTTTTTTACTTAATTAGATGTCTAATACATCAACTGTCGTATCAGTCGTGCTTCACAGTTTTTTAACTTTATATGTAATTTTAGAATTTATATAAATAATTATTTATTTTTATTACATTGACAACATACCAATTAGATTTGAAATAAATATCATTTTTAAAAGAATGCATACCAATTTCTATAACTTTATAATACAATTTATAGTTTTATTTGATATAATTTAATTTAGTTTGATAAATAAATTTAAATTGTACTTATAAGGATATATATTACTGTTTTGTATTATATATATATATAAATAAATAGCAAAATACAAACAGATATAATTTATTTATTTTATATATACAATATAGATGTCAAATCGAAGCTCATCAAAAGATGATTAATTTGATATATTATATATGTAAAAGCGATAAGAAATACAAAAGTTATCAACTTTTAAAATATATTTTCAAATCAATGGTTATAATAGGAAACGATATTAAAATACAATTAATATAAATTTTAATTTTTATCCAAGCCTAACTCCAAAGCATGATTTTTAGTCAAATAGGATTCTGAAGCATGAGAATTTGCCACGTAGACTCAGCGCATTCTGAAATTATATATAGAGGGGATATATATATATATATATATATATATATATTATATACCACTTATTTTCTTAATAATTAATATTTCTCTTTATATATGCCTTTGCATATTTTCAAAGCAAACTACCAACCATATACTATTATGAAAATCTCGTGTTCTTACTTTAATTTCTCAATTTTTATATTTTTAAACACTATATACTTTGATTATCAACAAAAGCTTAAATTAAAGAATATTTATTTCCAGACCTAAATAGTTGTGAGGAAATTTCAAAGTTAATTGGACATTGACTATACACAAATGCGTGCATCTCACAATATTATTGCATTTCATCATAGACAGATAGGATTTAAATCTTTCTCAAAATCTTTTTCAATCTTCTACAAATGCACACGAATGGATCCAATTTGTCACTACATGCATATAATACAAATTTCTGATGATCAATAATCACCAATACGTGTGAGATTCAAGATTATCCTTTAATTTAGATCCATTATAGGATTTGTTCAGTAATTGTCCTCTCTCCTAACCGGCAGCTGGAATCTTGACAACTCAAAATTTTCATTAATCTATTCAAAGCCCTCGTTTGGGTGGCCTTAGTTGTTGTATTTTTCCACGAACAAATAAATCATTATTTTAACTTGATATTTGCTAGAGAAGTTTTGGGCTGCAGACTTGTCTAGCAAGCCACAACGTCCATTGGCAAAAATTCAAGATATTTTTTTTTATTTTTTTTTTTGGAATATATAAGGATATGAGTAAATTTCAAGCATCTAATGAATTTTAACATGTAATACTTAATTCATAAGATAAGTTTAAGCAATAACTTGTAACAAAAATTCTATGGAACATCGAATGGTTTTTTTATGGAGCCATCAATCACTTAGTATATTGACACATGTCCAAAGTTATTTATAGCAAAACTGTAACTTGTAATTAGTTCTGAGTTGAAGGCATATATGTGTTGCCTTTTTGTTGGTTCATTTTTGTTTTGTTTTGTTTGTTTTTTTTTTTTTTTTTTTTGTGACACAA